TATTTTCTTTCAAATTTTGCATTTTAACTATGAAAAAAGAAATGGTATATGAGTTTTCTTTAATATTGTTTAATGGAAGTGTCTCAAACGATACTCTTCTTTATAAGGAATCGTATAGCGCCATCTATGGACGATTGGAAATATTAAATTACTGGCATAGGAATTTTTATTTAAAATCTTAATACAAATAAAAAGTATTGCTTCACATTTATATGAATAAAAAAAAGAATAATAATAAGGTTAACAAATAAAAATAATCCAAAATAAATACACAAAAAGTGTGCGTTGGCCGGGAATCGAACCCGGATCAACTGCTTGGAAGGCAACTATGCTGACCATTACACCACCAACGCCACATGTACGTGAATCAAAATATGCATTGAAATTATTACGTCAAATATCAATTAAAGAAAACATTTTACAATTCTTAATAATTTCACAGACACTGTGTTTTTTAACACAAGCGGTAGATAGTTATTCAGGTGGGACTTATAATACAATATTAAATTATTACAAGCAATAACAAGCTCACATCTTAAACAAACAATTATTATTTCAACATAGCTGTACATTCTTCAATCATAGTGCACGTAAACTTTTCTTGATGGCTGGTGTACAGGTAATTAGTCGTGCATATTAATATGGATCGCGGTTCGCGAGGAGGTAGGCACACTTCAGACACGGCAACCATCAAAGCTCACCTGTAACTCGATGCTAAAAACCTCAAAACCTGACAGAGCTAATTAAACTTGCAACGGCTCTAGAGCCCATCTTAACCCCGAGCATCCGCGATAGACAATGCGCCTCGGTTCGGGCCTCGGGCCTCGGGTGAAAGGGGCCCTCGAGGACGTCGCTGTAATCAGGGCTAATAGAAGCTCGCGTGCTTTGATCTGTGACTCAAAGGAAGCCGAACGAGCTCGCAAGCTTTAGAATCGACGCAGCCAATATTCACCGCTAGTTTTCGCGAATGTCAATATAAATATTGTCGTCTTTTTGTGTTTTCTTCCGCCTCCTTTGATTACGCTCTTCAAAGTATTTATATTTCTCCTTCCGATGTTGTTCGTTCTGTGTTCCGTTTATTTTTATAATTCTCATTTAACTTTAGTTTGTCGAAAATGACAAAAAACTAAACGTGTTTCATATGAGTAGGTAATTAGGATATTTGTTACGGCCATTAACATTAAAAGTGACGGTAAAATGGTATGTAGATATGTTATAAAGTAAATATGCAAATATGTATCCGTTCTGTGTCGTAGTAAGTCTCGCTGTGAAGGCGCACGACATCCGTGAAGAGCGCGCGAGTGTAACATTGTTTCTGAGCGTTTCTCTCTGCGTGACTCTAATTGATTCTTTTGTGCCGCGGACAGATCGCATCGACCTCCGACTGACGTGTTTATGTTTGAGGGTCGCTTTGTGACCTCTCCTACGAGATGCACCGTGAAGACGGCGAGGGTTGTGGGCTGTGGAGATCAATTGAAACGTCGTTACGTCAATGAACTACTTAACAGTAGTTATATTTGCATTATTTTGAAATTACAACACTTGGAAACTAGTACCGGAGAAAATAGTTTACTGAAGAATATTTTGTTTGACATTTTCTAGTAATTTTCTTACAAATTTGATATTTTTGGATGTCTGTATATGACCGTAAGACGGATGTACTTCTATGCATGAATCTAATCATTTGAATGTAAATGTTATAGGATGCCATAGCTACCAGTGAGCTACATAACGTACAGTAAGTGATGTTCGATAAAATCAGTTTAAATACAATCATTATCTGCCGGCGACACGTGTTAACAAACAGACACGAAACACCAAAAGGAAATAATCCCTCCGTGAAATGTCAGGATTATCAAAAATAAACATCACTTATCAAAAGAAGACATTGATTGATGATAACACGTAGCTAGGTGTAGAGTACAGGACCGTCCGAAAATAAATTAATACACTGATAAGACACCGCGCGGACCACGGGCTACCTACACGTACACACCAATACTATACAATATTATTATATGAGGTCGCTTACAAAATCTTATACTTTACATCATTATAATACAGAGGCAAAACTTCATATTCCGTCTTAAATATCCTGAAATTATTCTTTATTGAAGACTTCAATTCCTTTCGTCAATTGTTTGTTGATATCTCCTCGGGGTGACAGTATGATGCAGAAAAGATATTGTACGACATTCTGGACGGACACCACCGTGGTTACCTGACTTTTGAAATTGAGATGAAAGAGTTTGGTTGAGGAGTTGTGTTCAGCGAGGGACAATGATTGACAGATAAAAAACATACGTGAACTGACGTATAACCGAAATTTTAATTCAAATGTTTATACACGTTCTATATTATATATTATTACAGTATATTTCAAAGTGTACATTAAAAAAAAGCACCTCTAAGTCGCGTTAATTCCGCTCTCAACTCACTCGTAAACATAAAGATCTACAAATCACCTAATATTTGCTAAATAGAAATCATCAAATAAATCGCTATAGGATGTAAATCACTGTATATTTATTTTATATAAGACTTGCCGCTCCAGGATGGAGCATCTCTGTTCTGTAAACTTCAAACCTTATTTATGATAGCATAGAGTCCTATTTCCCGTTTCACGTGAAGTGTCTTGAGCAGTAATGTCTTAAATTCTGTTTGAGCAGATGTACTCACGGCTCGTTCACGACGGTGTCCATGATCCACCTGAACGCGGACAGACTGATTTCTGTGTGCTCGTAACTTTTATATTATTAAAGTTGATTCGTGTCTCACAAAGATAGTATTGTTCAATGAAATCAAATTAATAATCTATAATACATTTCCTGAATTCCTCCGTCATAGTGTTAAAAGCAGTTATTTATAGTAGTTCATAGGACCATAAATCCAGCAACAGCCATAGTATAGTGCTAGTGCGAGTACTCCAAGCTCCCTGTCTCCGTCCCCCGTGTATCGTGAAGGGTGCAGCTCCCAGCTCAGCTCCACTGACAGCTATATGGCGCCTGTTCTGGTTTTCGTGAACGTCACAATACGTTATTGGCTTCCATTAAATAAGCTCGTATGTTCGGACAATAATTCCTGGTGTTTGTTGTCGGTTCCCGCTCCGTGATGACGCTCTAACGGCCGGCCATGGATTGTGTTCTTTAACTTTAATGTCTTGAAACATTATAAATTATAATTACACGTTCAGAACATAAACACGACGTCGCTGATACCTTGTTGAAGAATAAACATATAAGAAGTAGAACATTCTATCAACGAGGGTCCGATGTATTGTCTTCTGATTGATCGTTCTGTGAGGAAACCGTACCCTGGACCCAGCTGCATACACTTCCCGCTTGGAGAAGGTGCTCCAAGACTGGATTTGATAAACGATGTTTGAAGCTTTCATAATCTTAGCAAAGCGTATGTGTGTTATAAACAAGATACTATATTATTATGAGAGCTGTAAATGTGTGTAAGTAGAACATAACACGTATAAATAATGACCGACTTCACAAACTTAGTCCGTTAATAGAAAGATATATTATTGAAAGAAGATAAAAACTATAGTTAATGATGACGTTGGTTAAGTTTCAATATAGAGAGAGGATATCCACAGTAAAGAACGGGGTGGTTTGATGATTGTATAAGTGTTGAGTGGCTCATAACATCTTATGAGACGAAGTACAAACATGTTTTAAAATTGATAATAAAGGTCAGTCTTAAAGCGATCTATTTTAATATTCTCATGACAGTTGGAATTGTTATAGTTGTTTAGTCTTTTTTAATATACTTACTCATCACCCTAGCAAATATTAAAGAACTAAAACATTAGTCTCTTAAACAAATTAAATGATAACAATTTAGCCTTGTTCTAGTTTTTAAATCGTACATTCTGAGATTTCATCATTCAGATTTAATGACAAAGGTTTTGTATATGCTGGAAGATCGCTGAATATATAGTGGTTATAAAAAACATTGTGTATTAAAATTTTAATAACTTTATCTTCTATATATATAAAAATGGATTCCTGTTCCTTAGTCTCGCTAAAACTCGAGAACGGCTGAACCAATTTGTCTAATTTTAGTCTTGAAATACCCCTGAAAGTCCAGGGAAGATTTAAAAGGTGAGAAAAATAGGAATAATTGCCGTGAAAACCCTAAAACAGCCCTTTTCTATTTCCCTTACAAACGTTTCTCTTGACATTAGATTTGACAACTAATTAATATGTCAATCATTCTGTTTGATTGAAACAGGAAAAACCTGATTATTTATGGCCTCTAAGACGGAATAGAGTTCGCCTGGTCAGCTATACATATATTACTCTTGACCAAACTAGCGCGGACGAAGTCGCGGGCAAAAACTAGTATAAAATAAAAATAAATCAAAACATTTTAATGCAAATGATTACCATTCAAATGAAATAATTTGAAATGTCAAAAAAGTCCGCCCCCGGGTGGGCTCGAACCACCAACCTTTCGGTTAACAGCCGAACGCGCTAGCCGATTGCGCCACGGAGGCACTTGGAATGTGAGCGGAAAAAGTTGATGAGTATAATTGAAGTAAATATGACAGTTAAAAGCACATACCTGAGCAAAACAAAAACCTGTTTTATACCTCCACAGACCACAGTCATGTACGAACTTAAGACACAGAACAAAATAGTAGACACAGAACCTCAAACCGCATAGTTTAAAAAGAAAAATGAGTGACACACAAGCTTGTTGGAAAGGACCATGTGATTCAAACTGAGATTTAAACAAACCAGGTTAAAATTTGAGGTTATGTTGACAAGATAGTTTGTTTTGATTCGTCGAAGTATTCGATACAGTTCTATTAAGTGTTTGTTTAGATTTAAAATATAATCTTTGTTCCCTGTATGAATGTGTGAATAACGGCTTATTAATATTATTGTTGTAGATTGTGAAGTTGTCTTGTGTGAAGTGAAACTCAAAAATAAATTAATTCTTTGTTATAAAGGGACGACAGTGATTATAATTATCAAAGTTAAAGTATGGCCAATAGAGTGACCGGCACTTGTTGCACAGCATCGGTAGAACGCGCAGGCCTGCCAGGCCTTCTTCGAGACCTACAAAGATTATCAGAAGATCAAGATTCTGCAGATATCGTGTTTATATTGGGCCCAAATGAAGAAAAAGTTTATGCCCACAAAATAATTTTAATTGCAAGGTAAAAAAAGATTTCCCGTACCGGGAATCGAACCCGAGCCTCCTGGGTGAAAGCCAGGTATCCTAGCCACTAGACCATACGGGAGATATTAGGATTGATCAATTTAACCTTCAAACCAATTAAGTCTTAAAGAATCTTATAAAATATAAATAATGAAAGAAAAATTACTTACTAATACTTAATATAATTACAAAATATTTTATATAACGAAGCTATTTTCCTATAACTACAATCGTTTAACATCACCGATCTTTATAGTGCCATCTAGTAATCAATATTAGAATCATAAAATTTATACAGCGACACACAGATGCCGCTTTTATCAAAATATAATTTAAACCACTAAGTTATGGATATTATAACGAATAAAAAGACTGTTCAGGATTTAGTTGTAAGTTTTAGCTGCGGTATTTATATTATTTTTTCCCTTTATCGCATGTTGCGTTACAACCAGAAGCGGGGTAGATATAAAAGGCGCTCATCGTGTCAGCTGACCGTGTAGCATTTACATTTTGTCTCTTGAACACAACTAGTCCGTGCCTACTTTAATAAATAGAATGAAATTAATATATACAGTTGTATATCTTGCTTCTTATTGATATCAATGAGTAAAATATAAAATATTTAATAATAAGCATCGCTTATTATTTGCTCAAAGTAAAACGCGATAATAATACTCTACATCCAATGATTTCCGTTAAATACCGAAGCTTTGAAATTACACTTGCACTGTTATATCATGATAGCACACCTCACTTATAATTGTAAGCAATTACAAAATTGTCTGCACCTCCCTATGCCTCCTATGGCACAATTTCATTTAATAATAATTGTTCATGTTTTCGAAATATTATATAAAATTATTTTTAATTTCTTATTAAAATAAATATCTTAACGAGTATACAGATATTAAATTAATCTTACCGGACACTTGGACAGACGTTTCATGGCAAATTAATTATAGTAACTTAGAAGATGATGTTACATATATATTTTCCGTACGTTACAATATATTTAATAGAAAAATCAAAAAATTTATTATTTAAATGCTAGGAAAATTATATCAAAAATGCCCCACAATGTATCCGTGCGTAGTTTTTTCCATTTATATTTCTAACAAGTCCATATGCCAACTCCTAACTTTGTAGCAAACTATTCACAATAAGAAAAAAGGAAAGTATATTGAGATACTTTACCGTCCAAGATATTCTCGTAAACCGTTCAGGGGGGCGGCCTCACAGCTTGTCATTTGCATCAGAATGGCGGCCGGAAACATATGGTTCCATGTTCTCCGGAAAATCGACAATAACAACTAATATTATGCAGAAACTTATCCGTCGCCCGTCGCCCGTGTATCTAACACACTAGTGTTCCGCACAAAAACTAACTTTCCATTTCTTCGGACGATCGTCGTTTGATATATGAGGCGAGTTTTAAGTCTCTGCATATATCAATGTCACTCGTTCTATTTATATGAGAGTTTGGAGATCACAAATCTTGTTATTATTACCGATAATAAGAAGTACGTTGTGGACAAACATAATAAACGTCAGGCTTTATTATTAGAGGATGATTCATAATAATATTACAGTTATTGCAAGGGAATACGTTTAATATTAAATCAATACTCGTCTACCGCTGATGAGTCAGTTAAGCGCTGATGATGATTAATTTATAAAGTTTCTTGCCTCCTCTGAATCTTTACCATAAGTGTGACGTATTTGTTCAACTCGTGATATTTTTCACAAATCGTATTCGATGTGATAAAATGACAACCAATTGAAATATTATTTTCATTGAAGCTAGAGGTTTAATATAATATGTAAGAAATCTTTCCAAACGAAGTGTTCGTCAACTTGTAAACCGTAAATCAAGTTGTATTATTAACTGTCTGCGGCTCTCAGACACAGCCGGCAGCGACTTCACTTAACTTTCATTGAACTTAGCATCAATTCGCAGTCGATTCAAAGAGATCCGACGATGACTCGTGATTATGAACTAATTAACAACTCCATAACACTACCCTGTAATCCGCGGGCTTCTATAGGGGATGAATTAAGACTTAATTACAGGAGTGGGAGGTGGGAAGGCAGCTGCGGGAGGGGGGCGTGGGGGGGAATTGATTGATAGTATCGTGTTCGACGTAGCACCACTAAGCGAGTTTTAACCGCATCTACGAACTATAATAAATTATGTTACATAACTTGGCAAAGTTTAATTTTAATTACAAATAATAAACATAATGTTTATTGAATATAGTAAACAAAGAACATAATTAAACCGGGAACATGTTGCGTGAGGTATGAAATGATTACTTTTATATGAACATGTTACAAATGTCGTGTCACTGAAACAAGAAATGCAAGTTGTGACTTTAATATTATATGGATTATAACCTATCTGAGGGCGTTCACCAAAATCTTTAATGATATAATTAAATTTTGCTTCAACTGATTGCTAATTAATAAGCATTGAATTACTGAAGAGTTCATAAAAACAAAATCTTCATCTACTCCTCGGTAGATGGCGGTGAATAAAGAATAACGAATTATTTTTCATTTAATACTATAAAATTTTCTTTTTAAATTAATCAAAGGGTTCTTTAATGCAAATAATATTTTGTGATAATGAATACATCGAAATATAAGGCTTTAAGTGGTAAACCGTCACGACATTTGAAAGTTCGCACGTTACAAAAAAAGGATCGACGCAAAACACGTTTGATTTGCATAAGTATTTGTTGATAAGACGAAGTGAGCGATTTGCATGTTGAAACGACGGCCAGCTGTTTACACAGAAATTGTTTAATAATGGCGAAATTTACTTAAATATACCAATTATTTAATGCAAGAATGCCTTCGTCAGAATTATATTTTTCTATGAAAGTATTTTAAACGTTTTTCATGTAAATTACGTACTTTTTTGTTGTGTTTTTGACTGTACAATGTATAAAAAAAAACGTCAACCGTACAGTATGTCAGATTTTAACTGACACAATAACTGTAGTGTTGTTGATTTGATTCAATAAGGTTGATATCAAACGGATTCCTTTATACACAAGCCGAAAATAATACTCACTAGGATTTTTGTTTTTAAATTTGAATCTAATACGTAAAACTAATATAACATTTATTGTATTTTCTAGAACTTAAACAGATAATTATCTAAAAAGAGATAGATTAATACAATTATTATTACGAGACAAATAAATAATTTTGTTCCTAAACTTAATTTTTATCTACAGGGACTTATGTTTCATATTTATTATTGTATTAAAATTATTATTTATATATTTTCTGTTCTCGATCGTAGTTGAATGGCGGACAGTCTGCTCATTAGGTACACGGATACGTCAACGGCAGCGTCTCTGTAACAACTTACAACTTTCAATACACTTCTAAGAGTACATAGTTCTAATATAAATATATCATGAATAAGTGAACATTAAAATATTAAAAATCGATTATTTTCTTGAAACAAATTTATTTATATTTACCGCGCAATATTTACTGTATACTCTGTGTATATGCCACAGAATATTCGTATGTCGTTAGTCGTACTCGACCACACACTACCGATGACAGCCGCCTGCTACTGACAGATGACAGTGACGGCTCGTTACTGAACACAGTTTAAAAGTTATTTTAAACATTATTCCTTTACATTTGATTATTGGTAGTAAAATAAATAAATAAAAAAAAAATAATTTGGCCAATGAGATTTGAGTCTTTCGCGAGTTTTCATTAAAATAAAACTAAAATTGTCAGAATTACTACGCGTTTATAATTATTTTCCTACATAGTCCCGACGTTTCGGTTACTTTTGAAGCAATTTATCACGTAGAAAATATTAATTTTATTTCAAACACTTGCCTTATCAGAAAGCGCAGAAAAGTTTATTGTTACGGAAATAGTATTGAAGCTTAAGGAAACTGTTAAAGGCTGTACGGCGAGTGTTCATTAGACACTGGACTGTAATTTGAACCGACTGAATGGAGGAAATTAGAGAGTGTTACAGTTGAGAGTAGATTACAAGCTTTATGTTGAGTTACGGAGACTATAGAGACTACGGCCAGCTCGATACAAGTAATTGGCCTATTGAAGTTCATCAAATATATTTATCTCTCTTGTTAACCTCCTTCGTACTTTCTTGCCTACTTTCTAAATTAAACTAAACTTCAATGATTGCATTTGACTCGAAGCCCGTAGAAATAATTGACGCATATCTTCAGAAGTATGTCGGGAATACCTGACCGCGTTGTTTCCAACAACTGATTGTCTCATTTCAGGATAAAGAGTAAATAATTTCAGTGTTATTTTATAATTGCATTATGCATATGTGATATGATTTATTTTTTAATATATTTGAATGTATTTAGTGAGGCGTCAGGCGTCAGGTTGTGCCGCACTCCGCAGACGGATCCATTAATCGTTGCTCCGCAGATCGCGGTGGGACAGATCCGGACGCGTCATCAATCATGGCCGCCGCTCGATACAAATTATATAACATCCTTGAGCGATCACCTCTTTACTGGATTACCACCGCCGTACTTCAATTGACTATTTAGATAATCGGTAAACAGCATGCGGCTTTTTATTAAATTACGCTGCTCATACTCGTGTAGTATATGTTAACCTCCCCCAGCCGCCTCACGTCCCACGACGAGCCAAAATAGTTTCAGAATTAAGTGGAATATGTGGAATTAATTTTGAATCGATCTCGTTGCCGATAATTGGATATTTGATCCGGAGTATGGCAGCACTATTAAAACTTGTCCCTGCAGCCACTGACTCCGCCTGACTCTGTTTATCGGAGACGACTTTGTGACTCCTGACAGGGTGTCATTATTTTGATACACAGATTGCTTACAGAGATTATACGTAATAGTCTGTGTAGATGATTGTTGTGTAGAATTATTAATAATATACACACCTTATTATGAATTTATCGGGATGTATAGAAAGATGAAAAATGAAAAGATTCGCTTATTAAATACATAACATTTTTAATTGTCGTTTAAACCAAAGAATTATTACATTATAGCTCGTTGATATTGCTATCGTCAGATAAGAATAACGTTTGTAATTTTTCTATGCATATTTTTTTTATTAATTAAATTACTCTCAGTTTTAAGTCAATTTATAAAGCAATAGAATACAAGTGCTTCGTCTCTTTTCAATACTTTGAAGAAAGCCTCCGTCTGTGTCAGCTTGTGTCAGCTACCATTAGTTTGTCTCCTGTGAGTATTGTACAAGTACAGGTGACTAATAGTCATAATAAGACAAACTACGGATTACACATTAGTTCAAATTGTAAAAATTATAATTGAAATACATAGCTGTACATCTAAATCAAGATGAAACAAAAATAAAATTTGCTTGTTAATGAAAACACAATTATTTACGGATAAAATCAAAATATATTCTTAATTTACATAATGCACTTAGATGTAAAATAAACAAATAACTTTAATTTTAACTATTCAGGTCCTTTCGGAGCTCTATTCATTTTAATACAATAACACTTTATACAAAATAATTAAAATTTTACTTCGTTAATGTGAAGATATTTTATCTTAAGATGATTGACAATTATTATTATTATTATAACTATATTTTCTTCTTTATAATAACCCCAAATTCACTCACGTATAATTTACGATTGATTTCAATATCATCCACCACTCTACGTTTGTGTCTTAGAGACGTGGCATGTGGTTAATTCGGGTGGTTAAAGTAAACAGAAATAAGTGATTATAGGTAAACCATAAACCGATTAAAGTACAAGCAGATGTTCGTCTCGTCTCGTCTCGTGGGCTTCGTGATATTAATTACAAGAGAGATAAAACCTCAAGTGATTGATTGTCCCGCAGCCTCAGCGGGCGCCATTAATAACATGGACCATCAGTACCATTACTCTTATACATCCCGTGTAACTTTGATCAGGAACATTCAAGCTTTTATAGGAAAACAAATTTCCATCGCGCAAAATATAAATAATGAAAGGCCTCGCAACTTTACGTTATTAAACAACTTTATTGGTTACATAGACTTTTCTGACACAAATGGTCTATTTAGACACTGATCAAATGTGTGTTAGATTATATTTGTGTGTTGAGGTCAAATAATCATTGATCAGCACTGATTGTATAACTTTGTTTTTATCACGTTTCAAAGATTTTCCCTGTACTGACAACATCAGTGTGATTTGACACTAACTTTTATTCATGGTATGCGTATTTTAGTCAACTGTAGCAGCTTGGAATCTGATGACTTGTGTATCAAAGATTCACATATGCTCTCCGTTCTCTTACGTCTTCTACTTGTTGTGGAACACTTCCAGGGAATCTCCCAAGGTGACAAACTCGAAGAATCCCGTCAAGCCTCCGACATAAGTGTGGATAATCTTAACTTTCTTTATTTCCGCACCAGCTCTATGTATACGTATACTACGCATTGAGGTAATAAAATAAATGCATATAACAATCATATAGTCAATAAAAATAAATCATAGAATTACTTTATACCAGAGATGTATCAAACATGTGTAAAATGTTATTTGTTAGCAATTTTTATTTCGTATAGATTATGAATATTTATCGATTCCCAACAATCACAAAGGAAGGTTTTATTCGTTTTTAAATGACCTTTAATAATAATTGGATCTAATCGTGAGGTCTAGACACGATGTATTCAGGCCTACGTCTCAATTAAATTCAACAATCTTTTGTTTATATTTCAGCATAACGTCATATTAACGTAAATTTAAATATTGGATGTAATTACTATCATTATTAACATACTTTAATTATATTCGGATCACATTTGTAACTTTAAGAAAATCTGTACCATTTGACTTTAATAACGAAACATTTTATTGAATATTTTTTGCCGTTAAAGGATCAAACACAGTGACATAAAGTTAGGTCAAGCATTTCAGTAGAGAATGTTGAGGTCAAAGATGAAGCTCACTGTAGTCACCCTCATTATGACAGAATTTGTGGCGTACTCGTGAAAGTAGAGAACGATTTTAATATTAATAGTGACCGCATTACAAAAGAACTATACAGAACAGACTTCACAAACCAATTTATAGAAAATAATCTAAGTGCTAAATGTTTTACTGCTAAATAATCTACTCATTTTCAATTCTCAAGTAAAACTAGTAAGTCATCGTGAAAGCTTTATACATATAGAGAGCTAGTTATGAGCTCTCGTTGGTTAGCGAAACGTATATTTGAATTTCTTTAGCTTACTTAAGAGACTCAACATGGAAATTAATGAAAAACCAATAGAATCAATTAACAGAAATATAAAAAGGCAATTCGTGGCTTTACCGACTTTGTTACCTATTCCGATTTGTAAGTGGTCTGTGGAAACTTCTTAGCGTATTCTTTTGACCTCATGGCAACGACAAACACAATTAAAATATATACATTAATTGGGACAACATAGGTTCTTGCTATTAAGCTTTAACGAATTTCGTCGTATGCGTTGTTTGTAATATAAGCAAAGATTTCATGTGTGCAAGAAAACACACGTAACATTATTTAAAAGCAAAGTTATAGATAGTTTTATATCGCCCAGTATAAATTATTAGTTGTAAGTTGAAAATAATAAAATAAAGATCATATTCCAGTCCTTCAACATCGATCACGTTTATATTGTGTCGTTTAGGTTCTGTATTACAGTTGTTTGTTTGTTATATTTGCTATAAAATTTTTGTTATCTAAAAAAAAAGGTTTCATTTTATTTATTTTTATTTTTTTATTGTTTAGTAATAATTTGGTAATTTGTTATTGCCTTTTGTAAACTACATTTTATATTGTATTTTTATTGGTAGTATTTTTTTGTTTCCCCTTTTGTATAATAGAAGTAGAAAAAAAAAAGTTGTGTTAGGTTAATAGAAAATACTGTCCTTTTCCATGCCGTGATAACTTTTAATTGAAACAACACTTAGCTAAAAATGTAATTACCTTTATTTTAAAACCTATAAATGGTGTACGTTTTGTAAGTTGTCCTTAGAAATAAATAAATTATATAAATTAATGTGTAGTAATAATAAAGTAATTAGTGCCAAGCGTCTATAAAATATATTAAACATCGAGTGACTCAACCTTAAAGAAGTTAGAACCACTTGTTATAACTCGCATTGACAATATTAATATGCTAATAGGATATATTATATCCTCTAGGTGCAAAAGCTTCCAGAACACAAAGCGTGGCGAGGTGTGTCGTATTCCTGGCTGTACAGTAACGCCATCTCTTGGCCAGCCGACTCCTATCCGTCTGCAGCACGTGCAGCCGGAGACGTTCAGGCTCTTCACTCAGTATGTTTATACTGGGAAGGTATCGATTAACATTACTCTTGAAGTTCTCAAATCTAATCAATAATACTTTCAACGGAAGAACAAATGAATCAATTACATATGTTAAATGACATCTAGTGTTCAGTAGTTGAACTATTCTTTTTCTTAAAATGAGGTCTAATATATTAACACAATATTACGATGAAACAATTAACAAAAACAAGAGATGATTTTTTTACTTCGATATAAAATATTTAGTGTTTATAAATTACAATTTATGAGGATAATTTTGTTTTTCGTTAGTTATTATTACAAGATTCTGGAGTATTTGAGATGATGACGCTAGCTGCGGACTTGGGAGTAGAAGATCTTCGGGCGGCATGTGAGGATCACGTTACTTCCACGTTGAGTGTTGAGAGTGCTTGTACTCTTCTAGCAGCTGCTATGGAAATTCAAGATAGACCAGGTACATATCAAATATAAGAAATTAATGTAGTATTTTAACAATTCTAACAGTTGCGATGGTGGTGTAATGGTCAGCATAGTTGCCTTCCAAGCAGTTGATCCGGGTTCGATTCCCGGCCATCGCACACTTTTTGATAATCAAACATTATTAGGATGTTTTATTTCCTTTTTGAAAATTAAAAAAACACCTTTCGAGTTGTCGTATGATTTCTATTTATTTATTTTGCGTTGAAATTATCGAGTTATGAATTTTGATTTTTCAGGAACAAAAAATATTTGAAAGTTTTTTATTAATCACTTTGATATTTAATGTAAGAAAGTGAAAAAAAATGTTATCATTTATTATTATATTTATCCACTTTGTTTTTTATTATTTTATTTTTTTTCCATTTTGATTTCAAATAATCTATCTCGTCAGCCATACTAGTTATGTATTATCTGTGGTATGTCAATTGACAATATCGTTGTCTGACAAAGCTTAAAAACGACGCCGGTTTCGCGGCCTTTTGTTTTTAATAAAATATAAACTTTAATAATAAGAAAACCTTAGCAAAATGGCATACAAAGGACCCCCAAAGGTACAGAAGGTTATGGTACAACCCATTAACCTAATCTTCAGATATTTACAAAACAGAAGCCGTGTACAAATATGGCTTTACGAGAATGTGAATTTGAGAATCGAGGGTCACATTGTTGGTTTCGATGAATATATGAATATTGTTTTGGACGAGGCTGAAGAAGTTCACATGAAAACCAAAAACAGGAAACAAATCGGAAGAATTATGATGAAAGGAGATAACATAACGCTTATACAAAATGTAAACCCGAACGCTACAGTGTGAATAGGTTATAAAAAGTGAACAGACATTCCTCAATGATTCTCTGTTTGTGAATTATAAGTGTTTTGTAATTACATTCAACAAATGGTGTATTTGTCATTAAATTTAAGATCTTACTATTGGCTTTCATTTCAACCTCAGATATTTTTTCTATTACTGTGTCATTAACATTTCTTAGTCTTACATGAGAAAATGTAAAGTTGTTTTTATTACAAATCATTAGTCTTAGTTTTATTCTAATCATTAAAGTTACATTGAATGTCTTTATAATAAATCAGTAAGTAATATCATGTTAACAGTGTTGAAATATACTTTGTTATAAACTGTTGAATACTACATACAACATGAGATAATATCTTCAACATTAATAATTTCAAAAATGAAACAACATAATTTCCATATTCAATGTATGTTATTTTATTTAAAATGCATACTAACTCATTTAAGCTCAGGAGCACTTTAAAGTTGAAGAACTTTGGTTCAAACAAATGAAAGAAGTAAGCCCAAGACTAAGAAATTCAGTTCAGGTTACCGGCCAGTACAGTGTCTGAATGTTTTCATATTTAATAAATCAAATAAACTACATTTCCAGGTGGTAAGAGTGCATCATCTTTCTTGGAGCGCTGCATATCATTCATCGGAGACAATGCTGCGGACTGTGTCAAGACTAATGCATTCCTCAACCTACCAAAGGAAGCACTCATCAAACTCATATCTTCAGACTTTGTTAGTGAATTAAACATATTTCCTGTTTCCATATATCAATTTAATTATATTAGAAAATATTCATAATGGTTCTATATTGAATTTTTAAGTAAATGATATGTGTCCAATATAAATAAGATCAATAATTTGAAAATCTGTCAACAATATGAATCCATCAGTCAGTATTAGATTGTCCAATTTGACCTTAATGTTATGATGGCATTGGAGTATCGGGAGCAGGTGGTGCAATTAAAGGCAAGCATTTCATACAACTGTTTATTCTTAACTAAGAATAAACAGTGGAAGACGGCCATTGGAGGCCATTACAATAACTCCGTAGATAAGTTGTACAGATGTACATATTATATACATGTTACAGTACAGTTGAAAATTAAAATGAAAAATGTTTATTAACAAAAATATAAATGTATGTGTTATAAATGTATGTGTCTGTACTCAGCTGTGTCTGGAGGAGGAGGAGGTGTGGCGTTGTGCCCTGGCGTGGTCCAAGCAGCGGGCCGGGGTGACGCAGCCCGCTGTACACTGGACGGGCGAGGAGCGGGCCCGGGTGTGTCAGCACCTGGCGCCGCTCATGCAGCACGTGCGACTACTACTCATAGGTCACATATTACATGAGATTTATTGGTTTACTTAAACAGTATAACAGGTAGTTTAACAGTATGTGTGTAGACAGTACAGTGTTCGCGGAGGAAGTGGAGCCCACGGGCGCCGTGCCCATGGAGTTGTCTTTGGAGCGCTACCGCCGGGCCGCCCTGCACGCCGCGCCGAGACATGAGCCTGACAAGAGGACGCAACCACGGTATATATACTTATATTGTATTTATATACAGTCCATACACAGATATTATTGTGTATGACAACATGATACAATACTTTAATTGACATGAAAGACAACAGAAAAGTGTTTTGTAGGATGAGAAAGGTATTACATTGAGAACATTATTTAAGGATCCCAAAATACAAGGAAAAGTCTGTGAACTAAGCAATGAATATGAAACGAAAATGTATTAAATTTAATTGTGAAGATCTGAAAGTCTGTTATTATAATCAAGTTAATTCAGTTAGTAACTGAATAAAATAGAGGATTATATATAAAAGTAACATTGTTCTGGTTGAACCATCTTACACATGTTATAATGAAGTATTCATAAGAGATGGTAAGCTTTAATAAAGAAACTTTAAAATCAAATTCAGACACCTCCACCCAGCCAGTCTTATCTTCAAAGAGTGTTTACTGAGTGAAAATGGTTTGCTTGACTTTGTTTGACTTCCTCTACCTCTCAGTAGCCCAAAGAGAAGGTCAAGAGTTCCAGTAGTTCTTAGCCAGTATGTTCAAACCACTCTCCACCAATGGCCGTTGCCACTCAACTTACTTGTCCCATGAGGAAGCTGGCTCACTGGTAGGATGGCTTAGTAATTCTTATCCACTTTCTGGGGTAAAGCATAGCTCTATATTGTGTTCGAGGACTTTTCACTAGAAGCTAAAAGCCTTCTTTTTATTATTCTAGTGTATGTATAACTGTGCAGGTCCGCCGTGAACATGTTCGTGGGGTCGGTGATCCTGCAGCAGGACCGCGGGGGCCTGCAGTCCCTCGTGAGCAGCTGGTGCGGCGCGGGGGGCGGCCGGCGGGCCTGGAGGCTCGTGTTCCGCGCCTCCACACACGGGTACTCCGCCGCCGCCTTCCACACGCACTGTGACGGAGTGGCGCCCGTGCTGCTCTTAGTACAGGTTGGGAAGTGTTTACATAAATTTATTCACTTAGCAGATACTAAGACAGTAAATTCAAGCTTACAGCTTGAGCTTGGTCCTTCTCCAGTGACGCCTCTTAGCGTTGTAACGAATTGTGTTTCTAACCCATTGCGTTGTCAGGTCTGTTTTGTTTTAGCTTTTTAGCAAGCTCTCGCTTAATAATAAATGTCTTGTGGGCCGACAAGGTTGCCTTCCCTGTTGTCAAAGCTGAAAGGGAAATAATCCTTATACAATGAATCTTCTGAACAGTTTGTTGTATGAGCCTGTGTGTTGTGTTCTGTGTCAGTTGTCGCGGGGCGAGGTCATAGGTGGCTACAGTACAGCGGGCTGGTCTCCGGGCGGCGCGGGCGGGTACGTGTCGTCGGAGCGCGGCCTGCTCTTCTCCCTGAGCGAGCCACCGGTCCGCTACCCGCTCCTCAAGAAACCGTTCGCTCTCTGCTACCACCCTGAGTGAGTCAATTGTGCTCTACACTCAACAGTAGTGCTTATAAAAAACAGGTTATTGATGTATTCAATGAGCAATAGTACCTAATTCCAAGTTATAATTGTAATACGGACATACAAGCTTCATTCTAGTTTGGACGCTTGCTGCTCCAATATTATTATAATAATCATATTAAACACACATAAAAAATATTTACATAGATATACCTATGTGCTTTCTAATAATAAGTGTATTGTATGTATGTGTTTATTTGTACTCGTATATTGAACAAAATGTTTATATTTAATTATTTTGTTTTTCCCACTTTTGTTTTTTCTATAAAACTCATCTGTCATATCTTTTCACCATAATAAGTAATAATTAAATTTTTAATTGTTTGAATTTGTTAATACATATTTAATTCTTCAACAGGTTCATTTTTGTTTTGTCATATACATATAATGTGACCATCGTTGTTGAGTTTACAATAACTGACATGTACTAATTAAGCTAGAAGAAATGATAATTGTAAACTTGTTTGTGGTTCCAATAAATTAAAAAAAAAAACATTGTAATGAAGTTAATAGTATATAAATAAAGAAATGACTTCCTCAACCCGTCGTGACGTCATTCGTCCCATGTTCCAGTTGCGGGCCCATCTTCGGCGCGGGCGCGGACCTGCTGATCTCCAACAACTGTAACATGAACAGTGACAGCTACAGTAACCTCCACTCGTATGGAGACGGCTCCCTGGGGTCCCTCGGGTCCCTGGGGTCTCCGGGGCCTCAGCCCGCGCCCTCCTCGCTCGCCTCTGAATACAACTTCACCGTCCGCGACTACGAGATCTTCACGCTCGACCACTAGCCTTCGATGAACCTCACTGTATATTATTTCTATTATTAAATTACACGTAACTTCATAAAACTAAGTATATTTTTGTCCTTTTAATCCTCGTGCTCATGAAGGAGTGGATATTGGTTGATGTACAATCGTACGTCTTATATTAATAAGAGCCGTCGTATAGTAATGTTATAAAATTTAATTTGGTTAAAAATCCCACCTGTTTTTAAACTATTTTTACAAAGTAATTCCCTAGTAAAACTCTTGAGTTAAAATGTTATATCGATACCTCCTAAGTATAATGAGTCAACTGACATTATTGTAATTTTACAGGAGAGTGATTTGAAGGCAAATCGTTTATATTTTAATGAAATCAAATTAATTGTAAATAAAGTTAATGTTTTTTTAATAAAAATTGTAAGCACTTTCTTTGACATATAATGATTTTGCTGATTTTTGTTTTTAAATTACATTTTTAATGTAGATGACTGGGTATACGCCGACGGGGCTCAATAGTGAAATGGTATAACTACCAGTTATATTCATGTACGTTGTCCACTTACCCTTGTTGGAATCATATCACCAATTCCTGTGTGATTATTTATTTATTTATTTATTTATTTTAATAGGAAGCCAACATAATGTACAATGATCTTACAAAGTACACTACAGTTAAAGGCTAACTCAGCATGCATTCACAAAAAAAAATATATATATATATATATACACATATATAACAAAGCAACATATCAAGTAACAAATAACATAAAATAAAGTAGAAAAATCCATGAAATCCTTCTACTAAAGCGTTAGCCGTAAAATTCGTTCTTAATACTGTGAATTTTTTTGAATTGTCTTCTTCATAAGCCCATTGTATGGATGGGATATTAAAATCACCAATTACCAATGTAAACCTTTGTTTGATAATCACTTTAACGACGTTTTGTATGAAAACATCCAGAGTTTCACATATTAGTGGTGATGGAATATATACTGCGTATAATGATATAGTAGAATTTCCAATTAATATATTAACCCATAGATCCTCAATTTTAGTTTCCCAAGTGGTCATGCGATAGCTATTAATTTTTTTTTGTGACCGCTATTAATACTCCCCCACCATCCAATTTAGATGTATTACTTGATTCTCTGTCTCGTCTATATACATTGCATCTATTATCGATAAATTCACTATTGTATACACTTTTATTTAACCAAGATTATAACATCAAAATCCGTATTCAGTAAAGAATTGTAAATTTCATTTGTTTTAGTCCTTATACATCTTACGTTCTGATAAAAAAACTTTCAATATATTAACCATAAAAGAAAAAAAAACTTAATACTAAAATATATATAAAAAAACTAAACAAAACAAAACAAAAGATATAAAAAAAACTAAAGGTATTAAAAAACAACTAAACAAAACAAAATAAAAGATACAAAAAAAACTAAGGATATTAAAAAAAAGCCATTGTAAACAAAACCAAAAAAACAGAACAATATAATAATAATATATACGTATAATTTAGTATACAACTAATCTAAAGTTTTTAAAAATTCTTTTGATTTCACGCGTATTACGTCGCTTTCAATAGATTTCCTCAAAAATATATTTCCGTTTCGGGACCAAACAAAACGATAATGTTTTTCTTTTGCAAATTTTCGAGATGCAGCGTATATATCTTTGGAGGTTCTAGTAAGATTTTCGGAAATATATACTGGTAATTTTTCTCCCGATATTCCTAAATGTGAAGTATTTAATTTGTTATTAGAATTACTTTTATTGAAGTTTATCACGCCTGCTAAGAAACGATCTCGCAGAATAGGCGTTGAAAATTTAACTACATAGTACTGTTCGAGGACGGGTAGAATTTTTATTTAATTTAGCCAATCTTGTGCATTTAGTTATACATCCTTCTAAAATTGGTAAATTTATCGTCTGGCCTATTTGTTTTACTGTTTTAAGTAGATTTTCATTTTTAAATTCTGGTATGCAATGTAATTCTACGTTATTTGCTCTTGTTTCTTTCTCTAGTAAGTTAATCGTGCTGTTATGAGACTCGATTATTTCTCTTAATTCATTATTAGATTTCTTGAGAGTACAAATTTCTGTTTTTGCTTCATCTAATTCTTGTCTCATTGTATCATACAGATTCGAGAAAAATTCCATGGACTCTTTAATAGCTTGGAGTCCACTTAATTCCTCTCTAATTTTCTTTAATTCCGCACTTACCGTTTGAGTTATTATGGTTTGAACTTCGTTTCTGATCGCTAATAAGAAATCGCCATTATTAACGGCAGCATCACCTTGCAATCCAGTTAAGGAATGAGATATAGTAGTTTTCGATGGTACAAATGAAACTATATTATTCTCCGTACTGCTTTGTTTATTAGTTGGCGTATTTCTGTTGCTACCTCCTTTACGCGTGTTTGGTACACAAGATGGACACATCCAATCTGCTCGTGATATTGTGCTGTTATTATTCAAAGACACACATTCCACATGAAGTAGTAATTGATATTTGTTACATTTAATTCTTTTCTGTGTTACTAACACAGAATTTTTACAGATTGAACATTCATTTGTCATTTTGTATATTATTAAATATTGAAAAAAAATCACTTTCGCTCGGGATCGATCCCTGAAACCGAGCGCTTAAGACCGGACTTCAAACCGTTGGACTAAGTAGTAGTTGAGTATCGAGTTGAATTATCAGTATCAGTTCATATTACGCCGTGAAAATATTAACTTCACAAAGTGGGTAAAAGTGATTTGTTGCTGTTAATCAACACTTCCACTATATGTTTTTCACTGTTTTTAACACCTTTAAAATTAAACTTAAGATGTTTATTTTACTTTGAAATTGTCATTTTACACTTGATACATAATATTTTACAATTATTACAATTTAATAGCGAAACGAAAATTATTTGTAAACGGAGCAAAACAACTAGACGTTCATTCGGCGCGCGCGCGTATGTGTAGGGGGATGAAAAATAGATGTTGGCCGATTCTCATAGCTACCGAATAAGCACAAAAAATTTCATCAAAATCGGTCAGGTTGTTTCGGAGGAGTATGGGCACGAAAACTGTGACACGAGAATTTTATATATTAGATATAAAAATACCTAAATTTGTTAGTTGACTCAGTATACTTAGGAGGTATCGATATTCATCTTACTCTTCTTTAGTTATATTAAAAATGTTAATATTACACGTAAAACACATCTAAACCATATAATGTCAGGAGAAATAATAATTATAAAGATGTAACATGCTTTCTAAGACATTAAAATATATATAATTTTAAGTATTTTATCTTATTTTCAAAGCGGCTGTAAGGAGACCATATCATAATTGTTGAATGGTTTTGACTGATGCACAATTCTTAAATTTAGATTTTATTGAAAACACTGCCCTCTGTGACCGGGATATCGAACTATTGATGAACTTTTAGTACATATTCACTCTCCTATAGTACAACAGATGGCGCTCTATTGGAGAAATAAATTTGAAAACTTAAATAATTTTGTTATGTTATGAATGGTTCGAAATATCTTTTCATTGCTTATACATATGAACCAAAAAGATAACTATTTTTAATTTAAAGTAGAAAACGTATAAATACAAACTTTTGATTCCCTAAGTATTTATCGATTCCGCATCATAGATGTCGCTAGTTTAATAAAATCAGATCGATACGAAGATGTTCAAAACAAATTATAACAATCAAGAGCCTTAAACAAACCCTGGATATATAACTAGCCGGTGACGCTATAAAGCCAACAGGGCTACTAGCAATTAAGAAACCAAAAAAGCCTGGAGTTATTGCCGTAAATGATTGTAGATTTGCGTAGGCAATTTTTGCCAAAATCTGAAATATAGTTACATTATACGATGATAACAAAAAGATAACTTAATATAAAATATTATGTTGACACTATTTCTGATACACACACATTAAAAATTCAAATACGGTTAAAAATACATTTAATAAGTACATAACAGTAAATAAGTACATTTTCAAAAGTAAGTCCTATAATTTTTTAGCTAGAATGATGTCAGTTAGTCATAATTTGATACTAAATGATGGTCTGAGTGTATATTAAACAATAATACGTGTGATGAAGTAATATTGACACCACGATTAATGTTAACTTTAAAAAGACGAAAACACGAACATACACCAGGTAACATGGATCGAGTTTTAGAATTCAGGGATCATTGGCATTGGTTTAAATATACGGAGATTTTATATTGTATATCACACCTACTTGTAACTGCTTGTATTGTAATATTCTTGAGATTATTTTTTATATTATTTTTGGTTTAGAACATTAATTAATAATTTAATAATTATTATTTAATTAAGTAACCGCAGCCACCACTAGGTGGTCTACTCGTGGGCCATGTAAGGAACATAAAAAATAAATTGAATATTTACGAGGGTCAAACTGAAAGTTCTTAGAACTGGCCACTTATAAACAATGTAATAAAAAAATAATTCTAAAATTTGAAAATAGAACTCTTTGCCAATATTACTGAGTATATATTTATTTCATATATTTGTCATTTGTTTTACGATTTGGCGGCAAATTGAAAATTGTCTGTGTCACGTCAACATGAATTTAACACGAGAACATTTTCGTGCAAGTATAGCCCCCGACCTCGTACTTGCGCTTGTGATTTTTATTTATTTCCAAAAATTAAAGAAAAACTTAAAGGAAAGCGGTTTATGAATGCTGAAGAAGCGGTGGCTGCGTATCGCGATGCCATTGAAGAGACCCCTAAAGACGAGTGGGCAAAGTGCTTTTCCCAGTGGTTCCATCGCATGCAGCGGTGTATTGACGTGAATGGACAATATTTTGAAAAGATATAATAAAACTAATAACTGGCTAATGTAATCAGTTGTTGATTTCCTAAGAACTTTCAGTTTGACCCTCGTATTATACATACTTATGTACATTTATCAGCTGTTCAGCATGTTTCGCATAGAATTAATGAAAAGTTACCGATATAGAACATTTTTCAATTATAACAGTTGAGTAATGAGTTTTTTTTTAAATATATATTAGGAATAAGTCAAACTTTTTATATTTTGAAATACTTATGTTAAAGAATTAAGTCAAGGAAAGTAATAACCGCTTGCTGTTATTATTATTAATGAGAAATTGGAATGAAGCACTAGAGTTAAAGAAATAAGAAAATGAAAATATTGAATACATTTTTTTTCTTTTTGGACATAAGGGATAATACTGACACGTTTATAAATAAAATAATAATCTGGCGGGACAGAATGTGAAAAAAAAATGTTGTTTTTAAATGATTTAATTTTGGTGACTGTCGGCATCTCGAAAACCCTGCTTTAAATAAAATAATCTTCTATATATATAAAAATGGATTGCTGTTCCTAAGTCTCGCTAAAACTCGAGAACGGCTGAACCGATTTGGCTAATTTTAGTCTTGAAATACTCCTGGAAGTCCAGGGAAGGTTTAAAAGGTGAGAAAAATTTGAAAAATTACCGGGAAAATCCTATAACATAGTAAATTGAAACAAGCATGTTGTCTTTACTGTGCACCGTATAAAAAAATTCGAAAACAGTTCTAAAAGTGTAAACTTAACCGCGCTTTTGTTAGCAATCTATAGAACTAAAAGTTAGTCATAGAACGAACAGTGTTTTGCAAGTGAATTACTGCAATAATTAAAGTTAAAGTGATTGTAAAACACATATTGTAATAAATAGTGCAAATTGTTTTGTCTTCCTACCTGACATTAATAAAATAAATTACGATCAGCACTACGCGATGAAGCACTAAAGAACATTCGACACACTCGTTAAAAGTGTTGTGGTGTATTGGTGCGAGAACTTGGGTTTCATCGAGAAATCAGGGTTCGATCCCGGTCGAGAATTTCTATTTTATTTTATTTTTATTTTTTTTCCTTTTCCTGAATTATATTGCTTATTTAATACAAATTCTACCGTGGAGAAATTACTGTGAAAAGTGGAACAATATGGTTTTTACTTGCAATATTTGTACTGATAATATTGCAGTGACACAGAAGCGAATTAAGTGCAGTCACTGCCTTTTATACTACCATTCCGAATGTGTTAAAATTGGTAAAGATTCAGTCGGTATAAGAGCACATTGGAAATGTCACAATTGCAAAATTAAAAACAGTAAAGTGGCCATTTCGGAGGTTGACAAGAGGAAGAAAGCCAATAAATCACAAGTTCAAACAGAAAGTGAATCTGATAAATATTCTACTTCTTCTTCAACTACTAACACGCCTAATTTGAATCAAGATCTAATAACAAAACACAAAAATGAAAACTTGGAAGGTACTTTGCTTTGTTCTTCGGCAATTTTCGAGCAATTGGAATCCATTTTCGATAGCAAAGTAAAGCCTATGGTAGAATCAATATTCAACGAACTAAAGGTATCTCTTATTGCGGAAATAAGGAAGGAAATGGCGAAAGAATTTAAGAGACTGGAGGAAGAAAATGCACAGTTACGTATTGAATATGAGAACTTGGATGAAAAGTGTAAAAATCTAGAAGCAAGAATCACACATACAGATTTAGAAGTTTCAGAACTGCAAAAACAAATTGATCACCAACAAATTGTTGTTGCCCATTGGGGCAAGAATGTCGAACTTAGAAGTCGTAGGATTGCCTGAACTACCCAAAGAGTCACCAATTAGTTTAGTCATTGAGATAGCAAAGCATGCAGGGGTTACCCTTAAACATGATCAGATTGAATTTGCCTCTCGAGTTCAGCCAATGCAAAGTAAGCCAGGTAGACCGAAAACACTTGTTGCAAAACTAAAAAATCGTGAACTTAAGGATGCAATTCTATCCGGCTTAAGGAAAGTTAGAGGCATTAGTACAACAGATATAGGATTAGGAGGGGATCGTCGCAGATTCTACGTCAACGAACACTTAACCCCAAAGAACAAGCAGTTGTTAAATAAGGTAAAATCTATCGCTTCTGATAAATCATACAAGTTCATCTGGGTCAGAAATTGTTCAATTTTTTTAAGAAGGAACGAAGAATCACCAGCCTTATCAATAAGTTCGGAAAGGGATTTGAACAAAATAAAATAACATGTTATACATATAAGTATAAGATAGTTAATACCATGTTTTTACAGCTTGTTAAAATTACATTTTGTTACATTTTTAATTTAAAACTGTATATGGGATACTGTTCACTAAAACATGACAAATTCATAATCACACTTACCACATTTAACACAACAACACACACATTGCTAAAAAATATAAAAAAACATACAGTAAATAATATCATTACATATATAAATAAAAAGAAGCTTATTATAGCTAAATATGATGCTATTATAATTCGTTCAATATTATCTAGTAAAGATTCTACTATGCTTTTTACTGTATATATTCTTAAATTGTTGACGTCTTTATATATGTTTTGGAAATATTCACAATACACGCACTACATACACATTTCCCATTCACCTGGATACTCATATAGCAAATTCCATACATTTAAACGACGATACACACACTTAAATAAACCAAATAGTAACTCAGCCATACCAATATCATTCCAATTCTCAATCAGTAAATTGGTACATTGTTACGGAATCAGTCAAAAACTACACACTATTAAAATTAATAAATTGTGGCAGCTTAATATTATGGTACTTATTACGGATACCATCAGGCGCTAATCCCTTAGAAATATTTTATCAAAACGTACGGGGCTTATGTACTAAAACTAGTGAATTTAGATTAAATATTCTTAATCATAACTTCGATTTAATTTTAATTACTGAGTCATGGTTGACAAATGGTATCTATGACCGTGAAATCTGCGACAGCAGATACGATATCCTAAGATGTGACCGAAATATTGAAACTTCCACAAAAAGAAAGGGTGGTGGTGTACTTCTTTGTGCCCTAAAAAAATTACACATCCAACATCGTAGTGAATGGGCTTGTCATGGTGTCGAATCCCTTTGGGTAACTATACCTAGTGAATATTTGAAAAATCAAGGGCATGGAAACATTCATATTGGGTTAATCTACGTTCCTCCAGACGACCTATTATCATGTCGTCTCGAATCAATAACATCCCGTCTAGCTGAAATCACTTCCAAGCAACCAAATGACTACATCATTCTAGCTGGTGACTTTAACCTACCGAATGTTAAATGGTCAATTAGTGGACCTATAATACAAAATCAAGGACCAGCCAATTTACAAAACGCTACGGAGAATTTCATTGACATATGCAATCTTTCTGATTTGAAACAACATAATACAGTTGACAATAACAAAGGCAGAACCTTAGACCTGATATTTAGTAACATACATTTTGAAGTTAATCACTGCCCCTATCCATTCGTCTTGGAGGACGCGTATCATCCAACACACATACACACACACACACACACACACACACACACACACACACACACACACACACACACACACACACACACACACACACACACACATACACACACATAAGCACACACACACACACACACGCACGCACATAAAAATACCCATATACCTGTTAATATCCTCTAGTTGCATGTTTTAACAATTATTTTCTTTGCACCTACTCTCTTTTTGTTATCCACTTTGTTAAAAATATTATATTAAACACTTTACAATGTAATCTCTCTGGCCATAGTCTTAATAAAGTTTTAAAAACTGTACAAATATAATCTGTATACGCTGTTGATTACAAATAAATAAATAAATAAATAAATACTAAGCGTCATTTAGAAAATTTATAGTACTCAAGGTCGTATTCGATTAACAATATGAAATGTAGGTTTAGTGCGTCGCGTAATCACGTTTTCTGGGACTTTTTTTGTATTAACATAACGCGTAGATAAGGCGCATACTGACGATACCGAGCCGACGCTCGCGGTGTTGTGAGCTACGAGTTACTACCCAGATACGAACAGTACATTCTATGTCAAAGGCTTTTCCGCGGGAAATATAATGGAAACCCCAGAAACACGGACAATGACGCTGATTAAATGAAACGATTGTCGAAAAAAATACGAAAGATGGATGACAGAGATTAGCAGTGACACCAGATACATACAATGATGAATAGATGGAGAGTAGTGTGTTATGAAAATATTGAAATATTATTTATATCTTTGACGACATCAAGTGTTTGGTCAGTCATATCAGTGATGAAGGTCGTCACTGGATTTTCTCGTCCGAGAGTATGAAGCCTCCAGTCAGTCAGTTCTGGTTCAAAGCAATGGAGTGGAGACCTGGCGCAGAATCATTTACAGAATCTAAGATCAGGTAATATCTATCAACATAAAATATAGTATAAATTACACGATTTGTTTGAGAAAAGGCTCCAGAGTTAAAAACATATTCAGCGTGTATTAAATAATTGTTTTATATTCGTAACAGATTAGTTTCAATTGAGCCATTTGTAAAATATAAACTTTATTATTAGTGATGACTCCAAAAGATTCATCTCTTTTGGAAAACTGCTACATGGTATACTGCCGGTAACAGAAAAAACCGTCAACTAAGTCCTGTTAAGATATATTTGTCACATTTATATTCAAGTAATTTTTCTAAAAACAGTATATACGACTCTCGCTGAATATATATTAGTAGAAAAACTGAGTAAAAATATTGACAAACATTTTAGGTCACACTAGGTACCTTATTATAACATAATTTATTACGCTTAGTGGTCGTTAACTCCTTGTTTACAGCGGACATATGACTACATATTAATAATTATTTAAAAAATTCACAACCGTCATATATTGGATTTATTAACTTATCTTTAAAAATAGTTGATCAATAATTATGTTAAACTAGTAAACCTGGCGAACTCCGTTTCGCCACCAGAAGGCTTTTATGGTGATTTTTTCGTTTGGTGATTAAAAGATGAAAAATTTTTTGTTTTATATTTTTGAAAAGGAAAATTTTTATTTCATTTCAAAACAGTAATGAATTCATTTAGATTACAAAAATGAAGTGTTATTTAGTTGAACTTCTCTAAGTAAATGAAAGTGAATCCTTAGTAGATACCGAATCGAAGCGTTATACGTGTCCGCAAATTATCCGTTTCATTGAAGTGCTCCTTTGTAAACCACATTTTTTGCTTTTTGGTCTAACTTTAACACAAATAAAGCGTATGGTTTCCAAACTCGTGAACATACAAAATATAACTGCCCATGTGAAAAACAATGATTTTCTAAATTTATCCCGCAAATACTAAATGGTTTTAAGAGTTCAAACTACAAACACATTACCTAAATATTTTTATTTTTATATAGTAGATTTCTTACAAATATCTAATTGTCATCCATACGTCATTACATATCTGTCATTATACGTCAATTGCATAGCTGTCAATTGTGTTATTCCACGTTTTATAATGACTGACGTTTCATGTCAAGTCCCACGGGAATGCTGTCGAACTTGATAAAAAGTATCCTATTGCAATTTCCTGGTTCTAAGCTACCTCCCTGCCAATTTTCAGCTGAATCGGTTCAGCCGTTCTTGGGTTATAAGTGAAGTCACTAACACGACTTTCTTTTATATATATAGATACTATGTATAGCAACTTACTAGTGACGGTGTCGTCTTCATCTCCTCCGTAGTAACATATTTTACAATTAAATCGTTTCAGATACATTCATGAACCACACACACAGTATACGACTCGTGTCAACAGCCGAGATCTCTTACTTCTTGAGACTGTTTTATAATATGAATCTTATCATAGTAATGTTAATCAGTACAGGAGAGTCCTTTAACTAATATATAACCTGTCATACAGTCACCTCGTGACGCGCGTAAGGTGTGCATGTGTCCGTCCTAACTCGGTCACGGCACCGCGCCTCCTTTCCAAAACAGTCGCTGCAACTCCGGACATACCAGGCATGCACTCGTCCCTCCGCCGCCTCCATCGCTCGCTCGGTTCCCTCGTGTGCTCCTTGTTGTATATGAACGGCGTAATGTACGGGGTACAGAAGGTTGCTCGAAGGCTGTATGATTCACCGGAAGGGGGTCGCATGCCCGCGGTGAACGCCCTCAGACGATGCGAGCGAAACGGGACCGGTCCGACCCAACGACCTCACTGACTTGTACATTATTATGACATTACATTAACATCGCAACGAGTACGGGTGACGTTTTGAGACATCCTTTAAATACATTGTATATGTGATCGTTCGTAATATGTGTTCGGGAGATGCTCGGGAGATGTTCAAACACTCACGTTGACACGGATGTGGGATTAGGGATATAGAGGAGCGGGTTTAGGTTTTCGTAACAACAACTCTCTGCAACATATGTATATGTCTGTGTGCATATCCAGCAGGCAGCACCACGTTATTATTGAATGGGATACACCATAGATTATTGAATGGGACACGGAACAGATACGTATCATCGTATGGCGATACTTACTTGCACTAATTATCTGGTCAATTTAATAAAATCAAAGTATACCTTATTCAAATATACACTTACAAACAATTACTTAGTCCAAAAAGATGTCTCTAAATCATAAGACAATTAAATCCTTTCCGTGTTTTTATCTGCTAGAAATTTTTAAAAGAAAGAAGTAAAATTTTACTTCTTAACGTATTTCGTATTTTCGTAAGTTTCCGTAGAAGCAAACTAAAGATATCTGCACGATTATTAAAACATATAAAAAAAGTTGTTTTTGGTCATTCAAATATAATATTTCCTTATTTCTGGGTTTTTGTCAAGTGGACAGACAAGTAATATTAGATTATATCTTAAACAATCGATTCTATACATTATTTATTCATCACTATTTTTTTATAAAGATACATGTCTGAACACCTTTGATATTGTCATCGGGACAGCGGACGAGTGCTGGGAGCTGACACGAATATATCATATATTAAGAAAACTAACGCCTCTTTTGCTTTTAACATACAATTAGGTATATTATGTTATGGTTTAGAAGATGAATGAAATCTCGTCTGTGGGACTGTCATTAATTAATTATTTTTAGGAGTCATAAATTATGAACAAAATTTCAAATTATATAAGTAATTTTAATAAGACACTAAGCGAATAATATTATGGTATGGTATTATGGTATTTACAAATAAAGTGAACACAGATCATGTTGTAACACTTAATAATGTAAAATGATTCTTATTTATTGATGTACATAGTTTTAATTAAATTCATTTTGTGTTTCATTTTTCTGTCGAGTTTTATTTCAATATTTAAACTTATACTATCTTTTGCATTTGACTTCGTTGGAATTGGAAATATCGAAATACCAGTAATAATGTAACTTTACAACCTCCTCTATAGGGACCTATTGATTTATGAAATGACTATTACAATCTTAATCTCCAACCATGATGTTTGGGAAACTGTACTTGTTTAAGCGATGAACACAAGGGAATGTCTCAAAAAGTATTTTTCTCATAATTTTTCTCCAAATTCATCTTGTCTTCATGTAAAGGTTGTGTTTTCATGGTCTGGAGCCAGTTGTCTTCAACAAACAGACCATCTAACTCTTTTTTTTCAACACCCAATAGTTGTTGAGGTCACTCTGTTCATATAACAATCCAAACTGTTTAATGTAATACAATAACCCTATTTCTTTGCTTCTAGTAGATCAAGGGAACAATAAGATGCATGTCAATACGTCATGATTTTTTATATTCTTTCATATTGATCTATTTTCATGGGGGAGTTTTATGCGAACAATTAGTTTAATATGTAGATTCTTTATTACAATTTAAATGAGTAATCTTAGGCTATATTATTAATTCAATATATATACATATTGCTATATAGTTGCTTTCCGAGCGCATGTCTGTGGTGTATCAGATAGACTCCGATCATGTTTCTGTTGTTTTATTGTTTCTGTTCTTAACACCTGACATTTGTTTAATGACTCTCGTATCTCCTGTCTTTCCAAAGTAGGAGAAGCAACGGTAAGAAGCCGATTTCTAAATGTCTATTTTATAATGAAGGTAGGTATATGACATGGTTTAAGTCAGTAGACCGTTCCATTTTCCGTGATTAGTCGCGGCGCCGTCCCGTGTCCAATGAGGTTGTATGGCCGGCGAGGCTGTATGTGGCCAGCTTGAAGGGCCCCCATTAGAGACGCATCTCTACGTGCCACCGGTCGCGTCTCCAGGCCCTCTACGTGACGTACAACACGTACAGCCTCTGCTCTCATTGGTAATCATTTGATATCAGGTTTTTTTTTTCTTATTACCCCCACATCCAGTGTCTTCCTGCCATAAAGCAACTCGGCAAGTTGTTTGTATCTTCATTTTTTCTCTTCCAAGATGCGTCCCGTCTGTAAATGATAAAAACATTTCAATATCTTATCATTTAATCTAAACATCTCTAAACTGTATGAATAAGTCTGTCCTATGTAGTGTATGTGTAATGAATCTCTCAATGATCAGTCTGCGTCATTAATTGACGATCTTGGTTCCGTAATGGTTCTGTAGCGGTGACTCCTTACAGTAGACACGGTTCCAGGACCCGCGTGACTCACGGGATGCTGGGCCTTACATGGACCGGCGAGATGACGGGGAACAATCATCAACAGGAATGAATGAGACGTGACTTATACACAAATGTATTCCTTTTAAAATTATTAAAAATGTATAAACAAAATAACAGTATTCCTTATTTTTAAGTCGTTTAAAGTTACATAAAAGTATATGTAACATAATTGTTTTATTGAACCATTATCTTCACGCGACTTCACACGTGATTAAATGTATAGTATCTCCTGAAGACGGATCACTCAGCAACTGAGAAATAATTTATTTATCCTAGGTAGCCTCAGGGTTCACAAATTATTTTTACACTTTTTAAGACTAACGAACTAAACATATACCTATGGATTGAGTAAATAAATGAATATTTTATTATCTCCTGAATCGTTTTGTTATATTGTAGTCTGTGTTATATCCTAAAATGTTCAATTTACACGGAGAATGAAACATTATATAATATTATATAGGGTGACTGGTGAATTACTATCGATACTTGAGGACGTGATATTTGACGATCATATATGACAAAATAAAAATTAATATAACATAAATATTAATAAACTTCTAAGAAAAGTTAACCAAAAGTTATGTAATTAATTACGCATCGTATGAACACCCTACAGATTAGGTATACACACACACACACTCGCGCGCGGCGGCGTGTTGTTGTATCAGCACGCCGCCGCACGCGTCCACACTTGGAACACTTGGAACGTGTACACACTTTATTTATTTATACGGAAATTTGGTCAAAAATTAAGTACCTATTTTTTTTTACATAATTCGAATGAGAATCATGTACCGAGTATGCTCCTTAAATATTGATAGTAATTCACCAGTCACCCTGTATATACAAATAATAAATTTGGTACAAACAATTGGAGTAATATTGATTCCAAAGTTGTATATTGATCCTCATACATCTGGCTAAACAATTACAATATAATGTTCAGTTTTAACATCTATACATAAAGCTGAATCAAGTCCACAGTCCGTGATGATGAAGGGTGTCTTTCCTCCAACATAACCATATCACCAGGTAATAATTTTAACATGACACGAATAAGAAGACAAAAATATGATGATTATTGTAATTATTGCACATTATTTAGTATTCTTAAAGGACTTACAGTTGTAACGTTTTAGTTGATTTAAAATCCTATTGATTATATTATTATTTCTTATAAGTATACATCAACACTATCACTGTCTCCTGTACATACTAACGAGTGTCCGTGTGTCTGTCTGTGGTCACATTAGTTATTCATCTATCGGCCACGTCGCTTCACAGACAGCTCGGCGACTGAACACGCGGTTATCCTTATTACAATATAATACATATCTTACTGGATACATACTCGTTTTATATACATTATAGTATTCTTAACTTTTGCTCTGGTCTCCGTGTTGTCTAATGTCTTGTTTCGTTCCGTACTTCACGTCCCCCGGTTTAATCCAGTCCGGAGTTTTCATTGTTCCGTGAAATCGTTACAGGATCTTATAAAAAGATCTGACATGTAGATGAGTCAATGTTTCTTAATTCATAGTGTTGTTTAATTATTTCGCCAGCTCTGTTCTGTTCACTCACACAGCACATCAACAGTATCGGTTCATTATCTTTATACAGGGTGACTGGTGAATTACTATCAATATTTGAGGACGTGATATTTGACGATCATATATGACAAAATAAAAATTAATATAACATAAATATTAATAAACTTCTAAGTAAAGTTAACCAAAAGTTATGTAATTAATTACGCATCGTGTGAACACCCTACAGATTAGGTATACACACACACACACACGCGTGCGGCGGCGTGGTGTTGTATCAGCACGCCGCCGCACGCGTTCACACTTGGAACACTTGGAACGTGTCCACACTTTATTTATTTATACGGAAATTTGGTCAAAAATGAAGTGCCTATATTTTTTACATAATTCGAATGAGAATCATGTACCGAGTATTCTCCTTAAATATTGATAGTAATTCACCAGTCACCCTGTATATTTCTCTCCAATCTGTTCACTCGTCGTGTCCCAGGTTACGTTGACCGCATGATTTATGTTTGTTCTAGGTAGTTTATGTGCAGGTTGTGTTCACTTGCGGTGTGATCTCTCCCTCCTCACTCCTCTCCCTGCTCCTCCTTCCGTACTTCCGTCTCCTCCATTAATGTAACTAGTTTGCGGTTTGAATGAATCCTTATCATTTTATACGACACGTCTCCAATATCATTTTGATCTACTCGAGCAATTATTTTTTCATGTTTTCGTGATTTAATTGCTTCACTTGATCCTATTTTTCTGAACATTTTTTTTAGTATAATACTTACATCATCTCCAAGTTTTAGTCCACTAAGACATATAATTAAAATAATTATGTACTTTTAAAACTTTAGCGCTCTATAAATTCACTACGAAGTAGGTTTTCCATTGTTTTTCAACAACTACTGAACCGTGAAACGTGAAACTCTTTCAACATCAAACGTAAATTTTTCCAGAAGAAAAACCCTGGGGGGTAGTCCCCGACAACTCACCGACTAGTAGTTTACGACTGGAACAAAAAATATCAATCTATTAGAGACATTAAAACAAAAATACAATGGTCGAGAGGAATCAGCCGTGAAATGAAACGGACAAAAAGAATCGCAGACTGTGTGGGAACAGACAGACAGACAGACGTGGAACTAATAGTGAACACGAGTGTAATACAATATAATATTAGTAAAATGTTTCTATAGGAGATGTATGAGATATTGATTATTCGTTGTATTAGTTCATCTGGCTTCTTATTACTTATTGATGTTCATAATAATGTTGGATTTGTGTAATTATTATTATAAGTTTATGAGTCATGTCACTTAAATAAATAAAATCATATTATTCATGTATATACAACAATAACTTTCAACTACACTTCATGTTTAACTGCTAATGTCTATATTCAATGTGACGTTTGGATTGGCAATTATCATACACTCTGAAATTGAATAAGATCATTATTACATTAAGACTTTATGAAAATATGAGTATGAGAAAACCGTCGTGAGTTGTTTTGAATTATTGCAATACTTAGTTGTCATATGTATAAGCGATGGATATACCAATAGGCAGACGAGACGAAACCACTCAGCATTCAATGGATTCAACGTGTGGATGCCGGGTCCATCGCGTTGCAGGGAGAGGAGCTTCAACATATTAGTACAGAAACTCTAAGAAAAAGAAATCTACACAAATATAAATGGATGATCATTGTTGTAAAATTTTCCCTTAGTTTTGAAAAAACCTCTTGAGGAATTCATATATGAGAGATATTTATATGTTTATTATTATTATTTTATATCGTTTAACAATTACGAAATGCATAATGCTCGTTAAGTGTGTGAACGTGCCCTTACAGAGCATCGTAGAGAATATCGAATGTTTTAGTTAAAATAGTATTACTTGAATAAAGTTTAACATTCCTGAGATCGAAGATATTAGCGGCGTGTTTGAACGATGTGAGGTATGAGGATTACACGTGAAGGATGAGTCACGGACAGAGGTGCGAGGGGGTGAGGAGCTGGTGCATAGGAGGGGGGGAGGGGGAGCTCTCACGACCTGGGAGCCGAGCCGAGCTGGTGACGGGCATGGGATCCGCATTGACTCATGGGACACGATACACTCATACACAACGAGTGGAACACATAGACATATGAAGAGTTTAGATATAACAACCAATAGGGCTCCGTCATCACTAGTGTAGTTAAGATCTGATTGTGACGTGTTTTATAAAGATGGAAGATATGTTACGTGGATGGGATTCTGCGAAGGAAGGAAAATATAGTTTAGAAATATACATATACGTAAAATTAAACATTTTTTAATATGTTTATGACAAAGTTAATAGTGGTTAGTAGTGATACTATTTTCCTTAGACATTGATATGTAAATTATGTGTACGTCTAATTATGTATTTTGATTATTAAAATCAATGAGAGCATGTTGTCTGTCGGACGTTTAGTGGTGGAATTGTATGATGGAATAATGGGCTGGTGATGGTGACAGCTGTCTATCAATAGGGTGAGAAACACCTTCACACATACCATGAAATATTCAGCGAATAAAAATAGCAGAAAAAAAATTCTCGGGACATTCCAGCGTAGTCTTAGTTTGTACATTAAATGCGGCCATTGACGCACTCGCTGTGGAAGTAGAAAGCAAACCCTGCAGTAGATTTAAGCGGTCGTGGTCCTTATTACGAGTGCCCTAGGGTCGATAATGTGATGCAGCGCCTATATATCAATGAATCAGACGGATTTCCCCGGCTCTTGTCGGATAAATGATTTCCACATCATTACCGTTCAAAACTATAAACGGAAACACACGAGGAACCTTCACCGGATATATAACACACAAATATAATAAATACATATAAATAAATTAATACATAATTAATCAATTATATTTCATCATCTAAATTCTAAACAATAAAACACACTTCTCGTAGCCATAAGATTTTAGGTGTGACTTAACTCTTTGCGAGTCGATTAATTATTATTATTTGATACATTGGGTTAAAACCATACCTCTATATCAGTGACCAACCAATATATTATGAATGTTACAATAAGCACACTATTTATTAATTATTTTAATATATTATTATATATATTTTCCATTTCAAATAACAATACATATTTCTGAAGGTGCACTTTCAGTGTGTCAGTTCGTTTGTCTGTTCCGTCTTATATCGCGTGATCATGACAACATGTTCAGTAACTTGCTGGTAAGTCAGTAAGTTGTCTTCATACCAAACATAATGTTTTTATTAGTAGCAGGTGTGAGTGTCACGTTTACACGAACATACGAAAAAAATATAAATATTAAGTGCCCATCAGAAGAACGCCTCTCAAAACGTAGGAAAAATCCCAACTTAAATACAAAAAAAAGGGACACGATGTTCATAATTTATAGATGTGTCTGGTAACTTGACTGTTAATAAGTAACAATTTTGGTCGAAAAATAATATTATTGTTGCAAAAACAAATAATGACCTGTTGACACAATACTCGAACTACTAAAAAACACTTCGCTGTTGAGTTGTTCAAACATGTATAACCAGAGAGGGTGTGTACGGCGGGCACTTCATCAGACAGAAACACGGCCGTGACGAAACCGCAAGAGAACAAACATCAAACAAACTGAAGCTGGCTGCTGTGTTTAAATATAATGAACATTTACACAAGGATCTTTAATATTAATATGAAAGGGAAAACTAATAGATTGTAACGCCCAGGCGGACGATGTCACGCGCGGAACCTTAGTTAAAATACACTGAGATAAGAAATAATAAGATGAAAATCACAACAAAGACTGGAGACAAACTGATTACTACAATGTGAGTCTTACAGATATCATTTAGCGTCTTTGAAGGTATAGTGATATGATGTTATTGGCGTTGCTATGTCATCATTCATGAACACGGTACATTGAGTATCGGGTGATAGTTAACAAATATCCGAGGAAAGTAACACTATGTGTTAGTAAGTCGACCGTGACCAGTGACGAGCGAACGTCACGCCACACCACCGAGGATCGTACGAGCCACGGAGCCAATCAATCAGTGAATACTACAGACACGCCACCAGCCAGTACTCAGTAGTCACCACCTTACAAGGACTGAACACTATCTAATGTAGAACAACCCATTTCACAACAAGTATAATGATCTCTAACCGCGGAAACATCGAAAGGAAATGTATAACTTGTATATCCTTAACTTGTAATGTTGTATAGTATTTATAGACCATATGACCGACTGCATCTTCAAAGGCATGTCTCAATATAAACCACAAACAACAAACTAATTCCCCCGCTGACCGCTGACAGCTGACCTTCCGCGAGGATGTTGAGGACGGGATAAAGTTCACTGTAACGGAACATTACATAAAGTCTATTGTTTCCTTAATATAATTAATATGTTCAATTAATTAGTTTAAATTATTTATTTATCCGAGTACCACATGTCAGTCATTAAGATTATTGTTTCTACATTAAGTAACATAAAACTATTATGTTGCATTGCATTTAGGAATTATAGGATGATATCGAACATCGTGAGAAAACGTTAGGATCGTAATACATCTATTCAGGATAACAAGTAAAAAAATGAAATATAAAAAACAAAATATTATTTCCCCGCCAGTACATATGGGGCCGTCCATAAATTACGTCATCGATTTTTTCAGATTTTAGACCCCCCGCCCCTTTAATCATCCTATCGTTATTTCTTAATGACCCCCCCCCCCCCTTCTCCCAAAATTGACGTCATTACCAGTTTGACAAAATTAAGACATTGTAGATTTGAGAAAAATAGGGTATTTAATATGATTAAAACACTTGGTTATAGAATCACCTTTTATTATTTTTACTTTGGCAATAATCATTGATATAATATAATATAAAAGTAAAAAATAGGGAATAATAATATAACTTTTCTTACTTAGTCTCACTTACTAGGTGTGCTGGAAGAAATTTCTAATTCGAAATAATCTTTTTGTACGTGAACAATAAACTATAAATAAATAAATAAGAATGACGTTAATTTCGGACCCCCCCCCCAATCTATCATTTACCGTCATCCGCAGATCAAACCCCCTAATTTAGAATGACGTAATATATGGACGGCCCCTATGTACCTAATTTTGACTATTTTTATAGCTTTAGTTCTAACAAACCTACTTTAAATTTATTCACTTATATGTATAATATTATTTATTTATTTATTGGATTGCCAACAAAGTATACCCAAATACAACCATTTAAATTAATACAATTAAGATGCTATGTGCTACCTCAGTTACAGGCAACCACTTCATGCTGAAATAGTAACAGAGTGCATGTAATCAGAGTTGACATTTTGGTTTAAATAGTTTTTAGTTTAAATACAGTGCATGAAGAATAAACAACTAGAAAGTAAAATCTAATAAAATATGTTTTAACATTATTGAAGTCAGTTCTCTTAGTAACAAAGAATTAAAGTCGGCAGACGACCGGCGCTCGGCTAATACATTCATATAAACATACGACAAACATATGTATTATCTAAATACTGTAAAAAAATAATGAATCTAAATAAAATAATTACTTTAATTATTGTATACGTGATATCTGATGCATTGACCAACTTGCTCGTCCAAAAATCTACTTCCTACGGCACCTACTATAAAAATTGTTCGTATCCTCTTTTGTGGAGTTATCGGTATAAAAAAAGTAAAACAATAAAAGACACCAGTAGGTACGCCAAACAGCAATATTTGATATTAGATAATATTATATACGTAAGTCAGTGGTGGCCTAATGGTTAGAGGGCTCGCCTCTCGTTGCCGAGGGCGCGGGTTCGATCCTGGCCCGGGCAAAGTACCAATGTGATTTTTCCGAGTCATATGTACTTTCTTAGAATATTTAGACATCACTGATTAATGCTGATTCCCAAAAGAGGGTTGATGTCAAACCAGGCGGCCGGTCGTAAAAACAATTAATTAGCCAAAACTATTCACAACATGTAAGGCAGACCCTGGCAGACCCTGGCAGACCCTGGCAAACCCTGGCTATAGCCGGGAAATTGCCAGGTAGAAGAAGATTATTATATAAGTAGATCCATTAAATGTTTACAATATTTAACGGCAAATAGACTCTACTGAATCTTCGTGATAAGTAAATTGTATAAAAACGGTCACCGGACTATAAAGAGTTCAAAAACAAACCATATGTGACCCAAAAAAACCAGTGGACATTTTTTAGGTATCATTTTAGAAAGATTTAATATCATGTAATACATTTTATGAGAAAATATATATTGAATGCTCGCTCTTAGGTATTTGGTCCTGTCAAGCAAGATTCTTTAATAATTTAATTGTGATATGTTCTCCTTGTTTGACCTTCCGTCGGCCTGCTGTACACAACCCCCTACGTGGTGCGACTTGTAATACTGATTCCTCATTACGGTATTTCTGACGTTGAGTCTCCGCATCAATACATAACATATTAAAGGTTTTTACGTGACGTTTTAATAATATACGTATTTGAAGGATGACACTAGCACTGTTAGTATTAACTCAGTTTTCTATGTAACGTTGAACACGAAGCTTTATTAGGACCTGACATCATGAGGAATGAACTCTGTGGTTACTGACAGAAGAAACCACCGGCTTGTTGGAAATACTTGACTCAGACGGTTAAACGATACACACATACGTCAATAAAAATAAAAAAATAAATTGTGCATGGAGTCCCTCCGCACGGAGAAGTGAAATTTTGTTATGTTGGAATGAAAATAGGAAGAGGTAAAAATAGATTTTAAAGAATATTTTTGTGTTTCTTTAGAGAATTTTCATTAATATTAAGTACTTACAAGTCACAATTGATTACCTGCATACATTCAAGCGCCACGGATTCCTTCTCGCAGTCTCTTTAATTAATTATTATTAGTACACCCCCCCCCCCACCTGCAGGCAGGAGCGTTAACGTTGTTGGAAGTTAAAAGAATATTATTGAGGTGTATTAGGAGTACTTACTTAAATTTAAAAGGAATAATTTACTGTTCCCATTCACAAAACGATTTTGTCAGAAGTGGGATTCGAACCCACGCCCACAGAAGTGGACTGCGACCTGAACGCAGCGCCTTAGACCGCTCGGCCATCCTGACTATGAAGCTAGCGTCAAATTAAAAATTCATTTCCTAAAGAAATTGTAATTCCCTAC